AGAGAAAAAGCTAGGCTTGGAGGCTTTTAAACCATCTGGGGAAAAGAGGATAAATTTACAGAGGAGTGACAAGACAAAGGAAGGGGATTTTGAGATTCTGCGGTCAGCAAATTGAAGGAAGGCAAGTATAGGGGGAAACTGCTGGTAGTTGAGGACTAGTTAGTAAGGTTTGTGTAAACTCTTTTGGTGCCATCACATCTCTGGTGATAAGGTTGTTATTCCCCTCCTAGTATAGGAAGTGGATTAGGGAGGACACCTCCCCAGGCGGGAGTTAGGATCTGTTTTCAGGTAGACAGGGGGACTGTAGAGAACTCATCCTGTGTCCACTTTTTCTCAATTGCTTTTAGCTCAAAATAATCCTTGCCAGAGTGGTAATTTTGGGGTGGCATATTCTGTTCTACACATCCTCCCCTCACTTGCCCCTCCACTCCCATGTGTATTGCTCTGGGCATCACTAATGTGATGACCCCTGTTCCCCAGGCAGGTTTTTTGAGCCTTGAACTTTGAACTTGTATCATTGCTTTTTGATTCTCAAGGTGAACGACTAGCTGACTTGATGATAGACTAGTCCTGGGTAGTGTATTAGTTGAGATGAATGGGTTAAGGTGCCACCCCTCCGAGAATCTGTTTGCATTAAGAATCTCTGTTATCAAATCTCAGGCTCTTGGGGATGATGGAGAAAAATCTAAAATAGGTACATATGGTGGTGGAGGGGGAACAGGGTGTAGTTGTTGGCTTGGGCTCATCATGTTTCTGTGTCTCCCTTTCCTAAACTGTGAAGTAGGGATACAGTAAAGACTAAATGAGCTAACATATGAAGAGTGCCTAGAACACTCAGTAAATGTTTATTATTACTATTATCATCGCAGTCTATTTCTTAGGAACTGAATAGATGGGAAATCGTTTAACTTTTCACAAAAATAACTTAAAATCATGAACCCATTTTTGGGCCATTTCTCAGCAAAAGCTACCATTGGAACTATAAATATTTTTCGTAAAGATAACCTCTCTGAAGGCTGACATAGGTAACTTTTCTGTTGAGCAGAGAGATCAGTGGAAGATAATAAAAGAAGGTACGTGTGTGTAAAGCAGAAGCCAGCTCTTAACATGTTTTAGTGTGGCACAGGGAAGGAGCAAAACCTGAGGAGTTGTTACAGCCTTGATGCATTGCCTACCAGTTACGAACAACTCATTCGTTCATTCCTCCCGTCATTGAACTGTGCCCTCCTGTGTCTCCATCACTGACCAGAGTACGTATCATTCCAGTCTCACAGAGCTTTCAATCTGGCGACATAGTTACTAAGCAGGCAAGCAAATGCATATGTGATTATAATTTGAGATAAATTTGGAGATATAAAAATGGGGTATAGGGACAGAGGGTAACAGAAGAGGGTCTTCCCTTAGTTTGGGGGGTCAAGGAAGGGAATTCTGGGGCTGAAGGGCTAGTAGGAGTTACTTAGTCGAAGAACAAGGGAGAGAATTTGGTTTGGACAATAAGGCTCAATTTGGCCTTATTTCACGGTAGTGTTAGTGGTGACTGTGTATGACGTTGACACCGGTGAAAATTGCAGCTATTATATCACGTTGAAATTATGGTAGTTATTAGACCCATTGCTGGATCTTGTTAGTTAATGCCTTGATAAAGAAGCACATGTTGGGACTTCCCTGGCGGCGCAGTGGTTAAGAATCCGCCCACCAATGCAGGGGATACAGGTGCGATCCCCAGTCTGGGAAGATCCCACATGCCGCGGAGTAACTAAGCCCATGTGCCACAGCTACTGCGCTCTAGAGCCCGTGCTCTGCAACAAGAAAAGCCACCACAATGAGAAGCCCACGCACCGCAATGAAGAGTAGCCCCAGCTTGTCACAACTAGAGAAAGCCCATGCACAGCAACAAAGACCCAATGCAGCCAAAAATAAATAAATTTTAAAAAAGAAAGAAAGAAGTACATGTTTAGTGCTACATCGCAATTGAATTCTTTAAGGGATGTTTTTCAGAACAGCTTTAAGTTGACAACAAAACTAAGCAGAAACTACACAGATTTCCCATAAACCTCCTACCCACCCCCCCGCCCCTTATACACACAGCTTCCACCGCTATCAAAATCCCTCACCAAAGTGGTACATCACACATATATTTTTATTTTTTTTAATTTTTAAATTTTAATTTTTTAAAGACTTTTTTTTTTTGATGTGGACCATTTTTAAAGTCTTTATTGAATTTGTTACAGTATTGCTTCTGTTTTGGTTTTTTGGCCATGAGGCATGTGGGATCTTAGCTCCCTGACCAGGGATCGAGCCCACACGCCCTGTATTGGAAGGCGAAATCTTAACCACTGGACTGCCAGGGAAGTCCCCACATATATATATATATTTTTTGGTATGCGGCCCTCTCACTGCTGTGGCCTCTCCCGTTGCGGAGCACAGGCTCCGGACGCTCAGGCTCAGCGGCCATGGCTCATGGGCCTAGCCGCTCCGCGGCATGTGGGATCTTCCCAGACCGGGGCACAAACCCGTGTCCCCTGCATCGGCAGGCGGACTCTCAACCACTGAGCCACCAGGGAAGCCCCCCCACATATATTTTTAAAATAATATTTTGACAACTGTATTTTGATATAATTTGTTTCCTTTGTAATCCTATGCATTTTATTTTATACACTAACAAACATCCCAAGCAGGACTCCAGAAGCTTCCCCAGGCTGCCAAAGCAGTTTGGAGAACAAAAGGGCTAAGGCAGCAGGCCGGAGAAGGGAGGCAGCCCCAGTGCAGCAGGAGCAGGGCCAGCCATGGAGATGGTGGCAAGATGACACTGCAGAGACTGAAGGGCCTTGAGGGTCACAGTGAGGAACTGGATTTTCTCTTGGGAGAAAATCTCTTCTCAATGGGAAACAATTGGAAAGTTTTAAGTGTAGATCGACTTCATGATTTGACTTACATTAAAACCTTAAAAGGATACCGCCACCACCACCACCAAGAGCTTCCTCATTGTTGCAAGTAAGTAAAGGAGTCTAGGGTTGGTAAAGATAAAACAGGGAGATTTGCAACTTGGAGTAGGGTGATGGCAAGTGAATTGTTGAAAAGGGAAATGGAGTTAAGATATCCTTTAAAGGTGAAATTGGAAGCTTGTGGTAATGAATTCACTGTGGGAGGTGTGAGAAAAAGAAGTGTCAGGGATGATCCCATGGCCTCTTACTTAAGTCACCACTGGTGCACGATGGTGCCATTGTCCATGATGAAGAAGGCAGAGGAGGGCCAAGTGGAAGAGGAACGTTCAGTTTCTGACGTGTCGATTGAGGTGCCTGCACGACGTCCAAATGGATGTGTCGGGTAGGCAATTGCATACGTGAGTCTGGAGCTTAAATGAGATCTGGGTTGGGGATAGGAATTTGGAGATGCCAACATACAGATGTCATCGGAAATCACGGAGATGAGTGAGGCTGCCTTAGGTGAAAGTGAGATGAGACGAGGACCCAGGATGGCTCTGTGAACTTCAAAATCTAGACATGGTGTGATAATAGGTTATCATAATGACCTTACAAAGAGCCAGCATTCATGGAGGGCTTACTGTGGGCTAGGCATTGCTCTAAAGGTGCTGCATGAATTTATTTCTTTATTTTCACAATAACCCTATGAAGTAAGCAGGTATCCAAGGTCACAGTTAGTAGTTGGAGGAGCTTAGGGTAGGAACGCGGCAATCTGGCCCCAGAACTTCTCCCTCAACCCATGTGGAGCCTGAGACAAAGTAGTCAGAGGTGTCAGGAGATAGAAGGAAAACCAGCAGCATGATGTCTAGAAGCTAAGAGCAGAATATTTCCAGATCGAGGGGTGGTCAGCCCGGTGGCATGTGGCTTGCGTTCAGCAAGACGAACTCCAAAGAGTAGCCATCGGTTCTGGCAACACGGGGGTTGTAGGCAATATCAGAAAAGGCAATTTTGGGGGAGTGGCAGGAAGGTAGGAGTGGAAACTAGTTGGTGTGGCTCAGGGAGAGAGAGAGAGCTGAGGATGTAGAGAGGGCACTGACTTTCACTGTCCCCTGAGAATAGGATACTTGCAGGTAGTTATAAGGTTTGGAGAGAGTGCGTATAAAGCACGTAGCACTGTGCTTAGCACACAATAGGCATGCAATAAATGTTAACAATTTTACTACTTGTCTGCATAAATCTTGAGATCATAAAGGCTTGCAGTATTGGTGACACAGGAGCAGGAATATAAATGCACAACTTTCGGTCAGCCAGCGTATATATGGGCAGGCACCAAGACACATTCAATGAGAGTTCAGGATGAAGAAAACCAACTCTGCCCCCTGGATGAATTGCCAGGCTGGTACTAGATGAAAGGCATACCTATAAAAAAGGTAATGAACGAGGCTGTCTGTGACATACCCAGCGAGTATGCAAATAGGGAGGGTTGAAGGAGTTCAGAGGAAAGATCTCTGGACTTGGATGGGATGATGCATTTGCCTGGAGAAGAGATGGACTCTATTGCCAGTGCCCCTGTTTCTTCATGAGGAATGAGGGCCACGGACGGGGGCGGTGGCTTTGCCCTGAGCCTTGGTAGGTCAGGCAAAGCTATCAGTCACACATCCTCCTTGTGTGGCAGTAACACTTCACATTTAGAAGTACCTCTCTCCACAGGGCTGAAAGCAATTTGTAAACAGAACTGAATGTATCTCATTACTTCTCTCCACGCAGCTTCCCATCCTGCTGTGACTGATGGCTGGGCTTGTGGGAAGGAACCAGAGGACCCCAGTGTGTGACCAAAGACAGCATTGAGAAGCTCCCACAGAAGTAATTTGGAGCTCAGAGTTAGAAAACTGGGTGTAGACATGAGTTCTGCCTTGAGTTCCTCAAAGCAGTTCCTCAGATCCTTCCTTAGAGGGGCAGGGAGTGGAAGCAAACCTCACTCACTCTTGGGGCCTTGAACTGCTTCTGCTTCCTGAAGAAAGGTGGATCCAGCCTTCTGCCTTCAGGGAGACCATTGGCATTTTCTTTGCTCCTCAGGCCGTGTGATTGATGACTGAGAAAAGCTGGGTTTTAAAAAAATTCTTACAGAGGACTGCCCTCCCTAGACCCCTGAAGCTCTTCAGGGACACCTGACCTGTGGCCTTGACAGGAATTCTAGGAGAAGTCAGGTAATGGTAGGGAAGGGCCAGGTAGATCATGGCGGATGGGCTGCATGACAGAACTGTGAGTGCCACCAGGGGTGGAAGGTGGGTCACGTGATGCACAGTCACTCAGATCTCCTGACCACAAACCCTGGACTAATTTGGGGTTGCTCTCTGGCTTTCTGCATCACTTGGAGCTTGCCCCAGTGTTTCTGATATTAGCACATTGTTCTCCAGTAAGTCTTCTTTTTCACATGATTTATGTAAAGCCATCAGCAAATGTGCGGGAGTGCCCTTGATAATGCCTGCAGGATCTCTAAGGGCTGGGTCCAGTCTTTGGGAGGGATTATGTAAGGCGGGCCTGGGGAAGACCGTGCAGGAACTTGCAGATTTGCAAGAATGTCTGTTGTGTGGAATTAAAGTTTTTGCTTACTATTCGATCTCCTCCTAGCCTGTCTAATCCCAGTCATCATTCACGGCCCAGAATAAGTTCTGCAGCTTCTAGAAAGCCCTCCTTGATAATTTTTTTCAGTATTCCTTTATTTTATTTTATTTTGTATTGAGGCTAAGTTCATATAATGTAAAATTAATCATTATTGGCATTTAGTGCTGCATTCACAGTGTTGTGCAATCACCACCTCTATTTAGTTTCAAAACATTTTTATCGCCCCCAAATGAAGCCCTTTTTTCTGTTAAGCAGTTATTCTCCACTGCCTCTCCAGCCCCACCCCAGCCTGGCAACCACCAATCTGCTTTCTCTCTCTGTGGATTTACCTATTTTGGCTATTTCAAATCAATAGAATCATACAATGTACGTGCCTGGCTTCTTTCAATTAGCATGATGTTTTCTAGATTCATGTATGTTGTAGCATGTATTGATACTCCATTCCTTTTTAACAGTTGAATAATATTCCATCATACGTATATACTGCGGCTTATTTATCCATTCATCTGTTGATGGGCATTTGGGTTATTTCCACCTTTTGACTATTGTTAATAGTGCTGCTATGAACACATCTATTCAAATATTTCTTTCAGTACTTTTTTTTTAAACTTCTTTTGGGTATAAGTGTAGGAGTAGAACTGCTGGGTCATATGGTTCTATGTTTAGCTTTTCGAGGAACCAGTAAATTATTTTCCACAACAGCTGAACCATTTTGCGCTCCTACCAGCAAAACTTGATCATTTCATTTTATAGTAACTCTTCTACAAAGGAAATTATAGTAACTCTTCTACAAACTCTTCTACAAAAAAGGTATGTTTTACCTGTGTTTGATGCCTTCTGGGTTCTGTATTGTTGTTTCTACATCATCTTTTAACTTGATTCTAATCTCTACAACCTCAAGGATGAATCTTCATTATTTGTTTATTTATTAATTCATGGATTCAATTAGTAGTTAGCATTATGGTTTAGTAGCTAAGAATCCTGGCTCTGGAATCAAACTACCTGGGTTCAAGTACTGGATCTGCCAGTTGCTAGATGTACCATTTAGGAAATGTTATTTTACCTCTCTGCATCTTTGTTTCTTCATTTGTAAAATGGGAATAATGATGGTTGTATTAGTTTCATATTGCTGCTGTAGCAATTACCGCATACTTTGTGGCTTAACATTGCACAGATGTGTCATCTTATAACTCTGGAGGTCAGAAGTCTGAAGTGGGTCTCACTGAGCTAAAATCTAGCGTGGCAGGGCTATACTTCTTCCGGAGGCTCTAGGGGAGAGTCTGTTTCCTTACTTTCTCTGGCTTCTAGAGAATACCTGCATTCCTTGGTTCATGGTCCCCTTCCGTCTTCAGTATCTTCCCTCTTCCATATCACTCTGGCTTCTATCATCACATCTACTCTGACCCTCCTGCCTCCCTCCTTTAAGGATCCTTGTAATGATGTTAGGCCCGCCCAGATAATCCAGGAAAATCTCCCCATCCCAAGATCTTTACTTAATCACATCTGCAAAGCCCCTTTATTCATGAAAGGTAACATATTCACAGGTTCCAGGGTTTAGGTTGTGGACATTTTGAGGGGCCATTATTCAGCCTGTCACAACCATACTACCTCATAAGATTATTCCGAAGATAAAATGAGATATTTCGCAGAAAGCACCAGTACTCAATGATATTAGACATTACTGCTGCTCCTACCAATGATGCCTATGCCTATGGCTAGATTTAGTACCAAGAACATAGTGAGTGCCCTGTGGGTATCTGGAGACTGTACGCGTCTGACTCCTAAAGTCTCAGTGGTGTTGCCTCCTAAGAATGGACTGCCTTTTCTCAATAGGAACAGAGTCACTCATCAAACTCCTCATGACAGAGTCCTCTCTGGGGTTCCACTTAGTTCAGACCCATCTCTGTGGGAATCTGAATCCTAAAGCTCTGGTCTATCCCAGGGGTCTTAATTATCTCTGAATTAGAGAGTCAAAAGTTCTGGGTCACAAAAGACACACCTGATAAAAGACTGCCGTCTAAAATATACAGAGAACTCTTAAAATTCAACAATAAGACAACAAACAACCCAATTAAAAAATGGGCCAAAGGCTTTAACAGACACCTCACCAAACATATGAGAAGATGCTCCATGTCATAGGCCATCAGGGCAACACAAGTTAAAACAACAGTGAGATACCACTACATACCTATTAGAGTGGCCAAGACCCAGGCCCCTGACAGTACCAAATACTGCAGAGAATGCAGAGCAACAGGAACTCTCATTCACTGCTGGTGGGAATGCAAAATGGAACAGCCACTTTGGAAGACACTGTAATGGTTTCTTAGAAAACTAAACACGCTCTTACCATAGAATCCAGCAGTTGCACTCCTTGGTATTTACTCAAAGAAGTTGAAAACTTATGTCCCACAAAAACATGCACATGGATGTTTATAGCAGCTTTGTTCATAATTGAAAGTAACCACCATGTCCTTCAGTAGGTGAGTGGATAAATAAACTGGGACATCCAGACAATTGAATATCATCCAGCACTAAAAGTAAATGAGCTATCAAGCCATGAAAAGACACGGGAGAATCTAAAATACATATTACTAAGTAAAAGAAGCCAGTCTAAAAAGGCTACATACTATATGATTCTAATTATATGACATTCTGGAAAAGGCAAGACTATGAAGATAGTAAAAAGGTCAGTGGTTGCCAGGGGTTGGTGGGGGAGGGATGAATAGGCAGAGCCCAGAGGATGTTTAAGATAGCAGGAAGACTCTGTATGATAGTGTAATAGTGGATACATGTCATCACACGTTGGTTCAAATCCATAGAATGTACAACACCAAGAGTGAACCCCAGGGGCTTCCCTGGTGGCGCAGTGGTTGAGAGTCCGCCTGCCGATGCAGGGGACACGGTTTCGTGCTCCGGTCCGGGAAGATCCCACATGCCGCGGAGCAGCTGGGCCCGTGAGCCATGGCTGCTGAGCCTGTGCGTCCGGAGCCTGTGTTCCGCAATTGGAGAGGCCACAACAGTGAGAGGCCTGCGTACCGTAAAAAAAAAAAAAGGGTGAACCCTAATGTAAACTGAAGCTTTTGGATGATGATGTGTCAGTGTAGGTTTTCGACTGTAACGAACATGCCACTCTAGTGGGGGTGTGGATAACGGGGAGGCTGTGCATGCGATGGGGCAGGGGAACATGGGTAGTCTCTGTACCTTGTTCTCAATTTTGCTATGAACCTAAAACTACTCTAAAAAAAAAGTCTTAAAAAAAGTTCTGGGTCCTTGAGAAGACATAGTGAGACTTAAGAACCCAAGGTTGGAAGAAAGCTACGTATGAAGGGAAGCAGATCTGGAACTCGTGTTGAACTATGGAAGCTTCTGAATTGCTGTACATGATGGACTTTTAATCCCAAAGAAAATTCTATTTATAAGAGATATTCCACCAGGAAACAGTGGAGGGAGGATCCCTAGAACCCTCTCAGTTTGTCTTGCTCCAGGAGATGGGCTCAAGGACAAAGAGAGAAGAGGGACAAGAACTTTCAGACAACATGACATCCGTGTGGAGTCACTTAGTCCCTTGGGGAGAGAGGGAGATTTTGCTATTTATGTTGTCAGGCAGACTTGCTAATAACTGCGTACGCTGTAGCGGCCCCAGTTGGGAGATGTGAAGCTGCTCTCAGATCCTGTGACAGGGGCAGAGATTCCTTCTCTGTGTGTAACTTAGGGGCCTATGAATAGAGGCCAGGTCCCTGGATGAGGTGGCTGTAGGCGGCAGTGGGGGACAGAGGGCTTAGTCCTAGTGAAGAAACTTGAATTCCTTAATTTTCCTCTCTTGGCCTCGGCCACCCCATCTGAAAAAGGTGGGTGGATTGAAGATCTTGCGCAAGTCCTAGCAGCCTGTGATTCTATAATTATATAAAGAGTTATGCCACAGCATTTAAAAATAAATACTCCTCAGATGATTCCTGCGAAGATCATCTGAACAAAGTGTAAATCGTGAATCTTGACTCAGCCCATGGAAATGTCTGGGTCATGTCCTCCCACTTACGTTTACTCATCTTAACACTTAGAAAAAGCCTTGGGTCTCCTGAGTTCTGAGTTCCTGAGTTTTATCCATATTCTAGTTTTGCCATGACCAGCTGACCCCTCGGGGCTTTAAGAGACTCCAAAGTTCCTAGGGTGGAGGAGAGAGAAGTATTGATGGTCATGGGATATTTCCCAAGAAACAGAGAAATAAAGGTGTTTTACTGGTCACGGTGGTTGTAGAAAAAGAGGACCCGTGGCTCAAAGCCCTGAGGCTGAAGCAGGATTTAGATAGCTTCCCTGCTGGGACCACAAAGGACATGACACTGAAAACCAGAGGTGACCCCAGCGTGCATGACCTATAGAGAAGAGTCAACCCTTTGGGTAGTTTCTGGGACCCTTGAACTTTGAGGGGAAGATGAAGAGTTCTAGGATGAAATGGATCTTCCTAATAGTTGGGATAATATTATACTGCAAGAAGAAAAAATCAAGCCACGTGGGTAAGAGAGGAAGTGGCCCCTCAGGGCCCAGGGTGGGGAGAAGGGAGAGCTCAGAAGGCTGGAGGAATGGCAGGAGGGGCTGCATGAGCAGAGGTCCAGGGTCAAGACCAGGCTCCGTGTGTTTGGGGAGCTACACCAGCTGAGTGTTTCTGGGTTGTGGGATGAAGGGGAGGGGGTGATGCGATGGGCTGAGGCTGGAGAGGTCAACAGGGGCAGGCCAGGGAGGCCCCTGTGGACCAGGTAAGGTGTTTGAACTCGATCCTGTGAGGGCGTGCGGGTGGGGAGCCTTGCAGGGTATCAGGCAGGGACTCGCCACGGTTCGTTGAAGGTTCATTGCCCTTGCTCTTCGTCAGCAGGTGCACGCTCTCTGTTTCCTTATTCCCACGGCAGCCGCAGGCTCTTCACTCAAGGAATTGTCACTTCAAGCCAAGAACAAGCAGAACAACAAATTCTCAAGAGAAATCTGTGCTTTTCCCAAAGTGTTGCTTGCAGAGTGGGAGGAAAGAAACTTGACACAAGATATTTGGGAGTTTGGGGAAAAATAATGTATTTTGCATGTTGCTGCCAGGCACCCGGGTGTCCTCTTGATGCCTAATTACATCCTGCGTGTTTTCATGGAAAATGCCAAGGCCACAGTGGGTCCATGGCCTCACATCTCCCGCAACCTCTGAGGATGCCATTCCCCCTCCCTAAATAGTAACCCTCAGAAGCAGAGTAGACTCCATTGCAGTCTAAGCAAGGGCCGCAGAAAAAGCAAATAGGATAAAAGGGAAATAAAGCAACTCCTCTGGCTCGGTCCATGCAGAGGGTGTGGATGCAACAGCATCTGTAGAGGTGGCCGGGACCCCACGTATCCGAATCAGTGACTGATCAGTGACTGTGATGGAATTAGCACCGTGTCGTCATCAGGCACCTTCTCTTTCAGTCCATTTGGCCACTGATGAGCTGGGTGACTTTGGGCAAGTCTCATTTGCTTTCTTGACCTCAGTGTTCCCACTGGAGGGCTGAGACATAGATATTCTCTTCTTGCTCCAAAATGCCCTGTATAATCACTGGAAGGGTTCTTCCTCCAATTCTGAGTCCCTCCACCCATTTTATCTTAAACACTTTGTGATGGTGCTTTTTATAACCAGCTACTTCCAAAGAGGATTTGCATCAGCTTACAATATGAGAGGCAGTCACGATGGACTCATTAAAAGGCAATCAGTGATCAAATATCATTTGATAGGTGGCGGTGATGGGGTGGAAAATATACCAGAAACCTAGGATGAAAATAGCTTTTTCAAGGAAGTACGAAAGGAGAGCTTTGAACGCCTGGCTGCTGGAGAGAAGGAAATCCCCTGTCCCATGCTCTGAAGGAGCCCTTTGTGACTGGGGAGCTGGGTGTTTGCTGGCATCTACATAAGAGGTGCAGCAAGCACTTAAGAATCCAAGTCACCAGCAGCACTCCTCTAAAGATGCAAGATACTCAAGGTACTCTACATGTGGCTTTGTTTATTTTCCCTCTCTTAGAAATTCCCATTTCCTTTGGCAGAAATGAACAGATGTGTCTCACAAACTGATGAAGGTTGACAGATTTAAGGTTTGCATTGAGCGTTTTCTAGAAAGTGGGAGAAGTAAGCAGGGTCTGCTCTTTCGGGGGGCAGAGGTGAAGCTTGAGCCTCCTTTCCTGAGGTGCCGACCCCCTGCGCTCTGGGGCACCCACGTTTGCGTATGGGATTTGAGTCTCTCTTCTGGTCCAGCTCACCTAGCTGATGCCAAGCAGCCCCAAGGCGATCCTCTCCCCCCGTAAGCAGCCCCTCACCAGCCTCTCCAGGGAGCCAGTGCCAGGATTCTGAACCACTCTTTTCTCCTACTGACCTAGAAAAACCTTTCGGTGGGTTTTGGAAGTCTGCCTTTCCTCTTCTGAAGCAAGCTGAGAAAATGTCACGTACTGAGTGGATCCTCTGCACAGCAACCTGTTGAAACCGACCAGAGAAAATGAAAACTTAGCTTGAAAACGAGCAAGTTTTATGTTCTGCGGCTGCCGCATCAGGAAGCCCGTGTCTGGTGCCTGAGCTCTGGCAGAGACGGAAAGCCGTCCTTCAAATGACTGTCATTCTGACTCCGCATAAATTCGGGAGCTGCTCTGGGAACTGAGGGCTCTGAGACCTACTCTCCCTCCACTGCGTGTGCATGTAGCTCACATGAAGGATAATATAAGATACGTGGGCACTCAGACACCAGCAGAATTTAGCTCGTAGCATGGTGGAAGCATTATGTGTGTGTATGTGTTTAACTTAGGGCTGGAAAAAAATGCTAAATGAAGAGCTCAGAACATCAGCTCTATATCCATCCTTAATACTGTGTGACTTTTAAATCTGCAAGGGTTCACTTGAGCACTTGAGTCTAATCAGGCTGCACACAGGATGGAGGCTGAACTGAGAGGCTCACGTGATTCCACACTCAGCATAGAGGTTGGTGGGGCTGGAGCTTTGGGCATCGTCTAACCAGGAAAGCCCAAGAACTCGAATCCTGTTAACACCTTCCTTGCTATTCCTCCTAATTTCCTCCTGTCTACTGAAGTCTTCCTCTGCCAACATTAAAACATTAACTCCCTTTCTGTCTATAGTAACTCTGATTCATATTCTCATCTTCCTTCCTCTTTGAAATTTCCCTTGAATCCTCAAACCAGCCGTAATTATAGGATTGTAAACTCAGGGCAGCTCAGGGCTGGTGGGGCCTTAGAAAACGCTTCACTTCCCCTCTCCTTCAAGGGAAGGGATTCCTTAGAAAGTATCTTTCACTGGTGGCCCTCCGCCTTCTGCTTGAACACTGCTGGTGATGGGAAGCTCACTACCTTGTGTGCAGTATACTACTCAGGAATTTGTGCTCTGGAACCAAATGGAGTTGGGTTTGAAATCCACTCTGCCACTTACTCAGTGGTTGTTCTTTGGCAGTTTTTGCAACCTCTCCAAGGGACTTCATCCCGAAAATGGAGTTAATAATAGTATCTGCTTGTTAGGGTTGTTGGCCTAGCCTTGGGTTTTGACCAAATGTGTGCCTTTTAGAGGCTAGCATTTGTAAAAGATACTTTTAGGGAAATTGTATCTTTGGACTTTTAAAGAAGTCAAGGTTTAGAGACACCTGAACTGTGAAATAAAGCCTGCATATCTACACAGACATTTACACAGACACACAGTCCACTCCAGACAGTGGATATAGGGTGTGATATTTGTTTGCTAAGGCTGCTGGGAGGCTTAAGCAATGGAATTTATTGTCTTGGCAAGTTGCTTCTTCCCGAGGGCTGTGTAGGAAGGATCTATTCAAAATCTTCCCCCTTGCCTTGCAGAGGGTGCTTCTCCCTGTCTCCTCACATCGTCTTCCCTCTCTGCACATCTATTTCTGCATCCAGATTTCCCCTCTTTATAAGGACGGCAGTCATATTGGATTAGGGCCACCCTAATATCCTCAGGTTAACTCGCTTACCTCTGTAAGATCCCATCTCCAAATAAGGTCACACGCTGAGGTGCTGGAGGTTAGGGTGCCAACATATCTTTTATATGTGTGGGGCACAATTCACTCTGTAACGCTGAGCAATGGACAAGGTACCAGGCCGGCCATTCAGGGGCCTTGGCTTGGGTCTAAGTTCTATCGATGACCAATTGTATGATTCTGGCTGAGTCTCTGGACCTGCATTTTCCCCACTGAGACATGGGTGGATGGACCTGAATGGCCACTGAGGTCCCTTCTACCCTAGAGTTCTATGGTTTGAGTGGCCCGTTTGTTTTTAAAATGAACTGACAGAGATTCTAAGCGTGAGGTCAGACAGTGAGGGGACAGGGGTTTCTGAGCAGAGAGGCTTATGCTGTTCGGTCGCCCTCAGATCACACCATCTGGGTTGCAAGAAAAGGACAACAGTTTTCCATGTTCTGAAAGAATGCTTTCTTCCTCTAACATCCTGCTTGCAATCCTGTTGCTTGGGGAATGGCCCAATTTTAGCTACAGTGCTGTATTTTGAAGGCCCTAAAAGCTCCATAAAGCATTGATTTGGGATGAGGTAGCTGAGGAATTCAGTGAATTTAAGAGCATATCTGTAGTATTTCATAAAAATAAATCAACTTTTACTTTTTATGGGAACAAACTTTTTTTTTTTTTTTTTTTTTTTTTTTGTGGTACGCGGGCCTCTCACTGCTGTGGCCTCTCCCGTTGCACAGGCTCCGGACGCGCAGGCTCAGCGGCCATGGCTCACAGGCCCAGCCGCTCCGCGGCATGTGGGATCCTCCCGGACCGGGGCACGAACCCATGTCCCCTGCATCGGCAGGCGGACTCTCAACCACTGCGCCACCAGGGAAGCCCGGGAACAAAGATTTTTTAACTGGGAGAGTTGTGGGTTTTTTCCCCTCTAATTCTTAGAACAGTCTTGTAAAAATGGTACCCTGTAGAGTCCTTTGCGCATTTCTGCCTCTTGTCATTACTGTTGAAGTCTTTGTAGGATGGTTTTATTTTTGTTAAGTGATAGTGTTTAAATGTTGATCCATGTCAACAGAACACCGAAGCCATCAACACATAATTGCATTAATATTAATTCTCGTTTCAATGAGAAAGCTGCCTTATAATCACTTGTTATTTAACCCTGACTGTAACCTTTCCAGGAAAGAAGAGGACAGGTTGACAGATCCAAGCCACTGTCATATCCCTCCAGAGTGGCAAGCCTCTCTGTCACACAACATGGTACTGGGCACACATCAAGATTTTCATCAATGGAAAGGGAGATTGGTGTTGGATGTAAGAATCTAGACTTAAGCCTATGGAAGGAAAACCTTAGTTGATGTTTGTGGAATGTAACTTGGAGATCCTGACTCAAAACAGGTGTACCCTGGGGTGACTCTCATTTTGATGCACTCACTGATGCAGTGAAGTGTGTGCCAAAGTCTTCTCTTGGGGAAAGTAACTATGTCTTGGGGTTGGGAACAAGGTGTCTTCCAATGGGGGGGAGGCTTCCCTCGCAGATCCATACGGTGATGGAGGAGGGAATGAGGGCCAAGGTCTGAGGTCTCCCAGTCAGTGCTGCCTTGGCCAGAAAACTGCCGTTGTGTCACATCTTACAATAGGGACATGGCTAGCTGCCCCCTCCCTCCCGAAGTGGGGAAGCAAGTACTGTGGAAATCCGGGTACCACTGGGAGCTTATAGGAAAGAATGTTTTTCATCATCCAGAATCTCAAAGCCTGGCCTGTCTGTGGAGACGGTGAAACGTTTAGGCTATATCTGTATTTTACTTCATTCCTTTGTGATTAAGTTGCCAATGGTGTTGTCTTGACTCTGATCAAGGAGATCTCCCAGCTTGTTCTTCTGCCAGGAGGGGCCCCGGGAGCTCAGATTGACTCAAGAGCAGCAGAGACCGAAGCCTCTGCTGTTGGAGCACCTAGCGAGCCTGGGTCAGCATCCTTAATTACAGGCCAAGTTATGGCTAACTCAGCCTGCCTCTCATTGCAGCCTGAAGAGTAACTGATGCATCACGGAAACTTCTGGAAAATATTCTGATCATGGAAAGTTGATTTTATATTTACTAATGTGAAATCTTAGTAAGTGAAGCATCACAATCATGGTTGTGAGAACCTTTAAAAATGACAGGATTTCCTTTTTTATGTGTCTATAACCAGGGAAGTCCCAGGGATAGGGCTTAGTTGAAAATGCTTCTGCATGTTGAGGGAGCTGGGCTGGTCCATGACTGTATGAGAAGAGGCTCCTTTGGGAACAAGTGTGAACTGGGTTTCAAAACTCTTCCCTGAAGTGGGGTTGGCGTAACTCTGTCATTTCTACTGAGACCAGGAATTGATTATTCTTCCATTGCTCTACCTTCCATGTCTTTTCTCTCTGAGGACAAGGCAGAAACCAGGTCTCTACCTCTCCCTCCTTCCCATCTTCCCATAAAGCTCCGCATTCATCAGAGTCTTTTGTGGTCCTTACTTGTTCACTAATAAATGCTTATTCCTCTCTGAAAACAACCAGCTGTCTTTAGCCATCCGTAGCTCCTCCCCTCACCCCGCCCACTCCCATCAATATCACTGTCTTTGCTCTTTGGATGCCAAGTCACCAGACAGGAGACATAAGAGGGTAGGATGATGTTTGGGGCTTAGAGGTTCTATCCTTTCACGAGCAAAAGCTGGGTTAGCATCCAAAAACCTTTCTCTTTAGGGGCTGGTCTTCTGCTCCCAGCTGCCCTCTGGGAAGATGGGCAGTGATGCTATTGACAGCATCCTGTCAGGGGTCACTGGGAAAGAACAAGCAAGGCCACTCTGCATCATGTTGAATCCAGTCTGATCACATCCAGAGGCATTCCCTGAGGGGCCAACATGTGCCAGGCCTTGGGCTTCGTGGCCATGAACCTGCCGCGCTTCCTGTTCTCAGGATCTCAACCTCTTGAACAAGACAAGTTACCCACCGGGAAAACTGCCTTATCAAAGACCTGGGATTAGCGTCTGCCACAAATACTTCACAGCAAGGAATCCATACTTGTTTTGATGATAATTAAATGAAGGAAGTGCCAAATGGCTACTAGGAAGGAATTTCCAGGAGGAAAAGTGCTCTGAGATCTGGGGAAGTCAACAGAGGACGTTTGGCAATGGCTCAGGTAGCCCTGCAAGACCTGCAGGGGTTGAGCAGACAGAGAAGCACAGGAGAGGCTTCCGGGCAAGAGATTGGCCCCCAGGCTGGGAGGAACAGTGCAGAACAGAAATGGAGCTGAATATATATATATATATTCCTTTTAAAAACGTTTTTAAAATACTTTTTTTTTTTTTTTTGTGGTACGCGGGCCTCTCACTGTTGTGGCCTCTCCCGTTGCGGAGCACAGGCTCCGGACGCGCAGGTTCAGCGGCCATGGCTCACGGCATGTGGGATCCTCCCAGACCGGGGCACGAACCCGTGTCCCCTGCATCGGCAGGCGGACTCTCAACCACTGCGCCACCAGGGAAGCCCCTAAAATACTTTTTAAAAAATTTTCTTTTCCTCATTTTACTCTTTCATCCCATTTTTGCTACTGCCCCCCACCCTCCCCCCACTCTCTGATTTCCTCTTTGATGCTATGTTTTTTTAAAACAGGCTGGGGACATGCTGCGTTTTAAAGCCTCTCCTGCCTGCCCAGTTGTCCTCCCAAGTCCTCTAAGCTCCACATGCAGCCAGAGTGACTTGAGGATGAAGCTCATTAATAATGTGCATAGGAAATCACATCCTCTGTAGGAGGCTGGGAGATGGGAGCTCTGCCTCTGTCGTCGAGCTTTCAGAAATGGCAGCTCACCAATAGAACGCCCCGGCCCTACAGCCTGAAGGTGTCCTGGGGGGAGATTTCTTGGGTGAAATTTCTCCATCCAAGTGGGGCCTCAACTAGAGGAGCTTGGTCTCCCTGAGAATAGTTGCCTCCTTGCCCAGCATCTTTGTGGACATTTCCAGTTGGGGGAGGGGGATGTCCGACAGCATGTCACTTAGCATGAGTACACCCATTAGTTATAATTAAACAGGCTGCTGCAATGATGACAAATAAATTTAGCACCAAAAGGATTGTGTAGATATTCAGAGCCAGAAGAGCAGTCTTCAGACGGCAAATTAGCCAGGCTTTCCTGCTCTGGAGGGGCTCAGGGGAGGCAGGTCTTCTCCCAGGTGGATGTCCTCGCATTCTCAAAGGGTGATGCTTCCTGAGAGCAGATTCATCTTGAGTCTATTTCAGGCAACATCCTCAAGCCCTGGGACCCTAGGAGCATCTCCTTACTTTTTCTAATATTTGCGAGCCATTTTCTTCCCCCTGCTTCATCCTGAATGCATTTGCATCGTCCGTCTCTGGCTTCCTTCTAGGAGGTCAAGAGGCCTGCTGTTCACAACAGGCTTTCCCTGTGATCAGCCACCGTCAACGCCCGTGCTCCTGCAGGATCCCAAGGAAGAGCACACGTCGAGACCTCAGCCCTTCAGCTGGAAACCTTTGGGTGGTCTCCCCATCATCAGGTGAAGCCTAATCCCGCCTTGTGCGCTCGTGGTTAAGATATCATGGACACCAGCCGGGCTATTTTCTTTTATGTTTCAAAAGGCTGTGCTGTTGCGTCTTTGATATCCCCTAGGCCCCAAGTAGGCAGCGTTTCACTAGACTTCTTGAAATATGGACACAAAATTTTCAGGGGAAGGAGGGGTATCAAAACCTTAACATAGAAATAAATTGGGAGAGGAATGATGGATGACGGGAAGGTTCCCTGAGCAGACTACAGGGAATCAAGAGGAAAGACTATTACTTTTAATAATAAGAGTCAATACAGAATGAGCGTGGCTACGTGTCAGTTATTGTGTTGGTCCTTTTCATGAGGGCAGCATGGGGTGATTGTTAAGAGCATGACCATCATTCAGTGCCTGGCTTTGAATCTTAGCTTTGCTGCTAGCTAGTGGGGTGACCATAAGCAAGTAGCTTACCTTTCCTGTGCCTTAGATGCCCCACCTGTAAAATGGGGGCTAATAATATTACCTACCTCCTAGGATCGTTGTGACAGCTAAGTGAGACGATTTACGTAAAGTGTACAGAATAGGATCTGTATCTTGTGAAGGTTAGTGAATTCTATCACCTGAGCATTTTCCCATCTTTAGGGATTATTATCTTCACAGTGTTGCTATAATCACACACCCATGGATTTACTTAATATTTAAAGACTTTGTAAACTTAAAAAGGTATGAATATAACATACTGAAAAGTGCACAAATCATAGATGCGTAAATCAATAAATTATCATGAAATGTCAAGAAACAGACCAGGGTAAGGGCCTTGGACACCCTTCTCATGCTCCCCTACAGCTTCTCCAGAGGTACCCCTATTCTGACTCTCACACTGTCATTTAGTTTGCGCATTATACATATGGGATCAGTGTGTATGTTTTTATGTATGTCTGATTTATATAATTCAGTTTCATGTTTGAAAGCATAGCTCTGTGGTTATATATAGCTGGGGTTCATTTATTTTCCTTGCTGTGTAGTATCCCATTGCACGAATACAGCACCATTATGTATTCTGCTGTTAATATTTATTTATTTATTCTGTGGTTTATGGACCTTTGTGTTGTTTCCAGTTTCTGGCTATTATAAATAATGGCAGTATTAATATTTTTATACATACTTATTAAAGCACATGTATGCTGACCGTATATTTAGGAGTGTAATTGCTGGGTTATGAGATGTGACATCCAGCTGTAGGAGGCAGTGTCAAATAGGCTTTCCAGTGGTTGTACTATTTCATTATTTTGTGATCTTTTTATTGATTTGTAGAAATTCTTTATATATTCTGGATACAAACCCTTTGTTGGTAACATGTATTACAAATACCTTTCACACTCTGTGTAAACTTAGTTTAAATTTTAGATTTATCTTAAGTAGTAATATTTGTGAAATTGAGTTTGATATTACTTTTTACTGAAAGATATATGTATATTAGATAAAAGTTTGCCCCTGCTCCAACTAAAATTTCCTCTACTCCTGATGGCATGCCTTATCATCCTTTAGGAAAACTCCATTATCTCATTATTAAATGAGATAAAAGAACCTCTTTGGTAGGTACCGTTATTATCCCTGTTTTCTAGGTTTGGCATTAGAGGCACTGAGAGGTTTCATAATTTACCCAAAGACACAGCTGACATGAGGACCAGGTGTAGTTGCTTCCAGAACTCATATTTCTTCTGTCATGTCACTGGTCAGCAGGCTATTTTATCATCTGTTGTACACTCTGGATCCTTGAGAGACCCTCTGCATCCCTACAGAGACTTGAATGTAGTGGGGTCCTCAGTAAACATTTGGGGGTGGATGGATGGATGGATGTGCTGGTAGATGGATGGATGAATGGATGGATGGATGGGTGGAAGGATGGATGACGTGGACAGTCAGTGTTTTCACAAAAGCTCGCTGCCCATGGAGGAGCCCATCCTTAGGCCAGGGCCAGGGTGTCTACAGCCTGGACCATGATCCCACAGCAACCCTGCCATGGCCTTTCTCTCCTCAGTGGCCTGAAGGTAGAGAGATAAGAACAGAACTGGAGCTGAGGTGAGGAAATGGCAGTCCCAACCTTGCCCTTGCCGGGGAGAAGTGTGATCTCATCTTCATCAGTGCAGGGGCTGTTTTAGGAACTCTTGCTTGCAGAGGAAGCAGACACTAGTGGTCTGCCTGCTCTGATGAATTGTTAAACCAGCTCTGTCTACATGTGAGGACCAGGCTTGGGATGTGGGCTCTCCTTTGGGATGCCTTACATACCATGGATGGGGGACCATTCTCTGCTCTCTCTCCGGGGAGACAATGGGCAGATTCAAAGATCAATTCCCGTGTTGTTGAGACCCACTGTGTTTGATCTTGCCTCACTCATGCTTTCCTTTTGCACAGTGAAACTTGCCCTTGTTCACTTGAACATTTTCTAGCTCTGTCCCAGGAGCTGATCTGGGTGTTGCTGTAGAAAGGATGGTAAATTGGATTCTGTCTAAAGAGCACAGATGAGGACCTCACAGGGAGAGCTCTGCTAGAGATTGTGATGAGGTGATTTTGAGCGTCACTGTGCCTGGCTTTAACTGTCTCTTGAGGCATTTATTGAAACTTTGTTCATACTCCGTAGCTACCAGAACCTTTTCCCATTCTGAGTGCTGGGGACATGCTGCTCTGGACTCTTCCTGAGCACTTGCCTGGGAAGGTGCTTGTTGCATTTAATAAATTGCATTGATTTATTGCCTTTATTGATCTGCTGAAGCTCTCTGTATTATCAGAGGTTATGGCCTTCTTAGGAAAACATGGAAGACCTCTTCATTAGCATTCATTTTTCTATGAGGCTTTGGAGGGTGAAATACCAAGATGCACAGTGTTCATTCTGGTGATATATTGAGCACCGTCCGGGTGAACAATGGCTTCGGTATAAATCAGGTGGAAGGAAGGAACTGAGGCCATTTGCCATAGACTTGCAGGAGTTTTTGTGATGAAATGAGGAGGCTACTTTCCTTTCCTTCGGTGATGACAAGCGCCTCTCTTAATTTTCCACAAGGAAGTAGCAGCAGGCTGAAGGGGCTCTTTGGGGAGAAGCATACCTCCACAGGCAGACCAGTCTATGATGTTTTAGTGTATCCCACTTAAGGCTTGTGCTGTGACAGCAGGTATATCACTTGGCAGTTCTGTGCCTGTGCTTCTTGTCTGTGTTCATTTGTGCCCTGACCTTCACAGCGACAAGCTTTCTATCTATCCCTCTGCTTCCTGCCCCAGATCCAGCCCCAGTCTGAAACTGATTCTGAAGCTTCCTGCATGCAGCAGGCCCTGAGTTTCAGGGAGAAGCCCAGATGAACCCAAGAGAGATGCCAAGAACCTAAGGGGGCGTTGATCCTTGACCCTTCCACCACCTTCCTAGGACCTGCCTTAGGCTCCTTTCTTCTTCCAGGAGAAGCCTCGTAGTGTCCGGTACCTGCCTTCCCCTCCTTACAGAGGATGTTGTGGGCTTAGGAACCCAATCTCTGGAAGCTTTAGATCCTGACAACTGTGGATCCTCCTGCCTGCCTCGTGGATGTGTCTGTCGAGCACTCAAATCTCTGTGGGTCTTTTCCACATCTGGCCGGAACCACTTCCCTCTTTTTGTACACTTACAGGGGAGAACATGCTTCCACTCCAGGGGACCTCAGGCCAGCATCTGTGGGGACCAGAGACAGTTCTGAGTTTGAATATAGTCCCAAGCTGTGTGACCTTGGGCAGATTACTTAATTTCTCTGAGCTTCAGGTCCCTTATTTGCATGGGGGGTTAATAATGCCAAACTCAAAAGATTATCGCAAGGACTAAATGAGTCAGTGTTTGCCAAGTGCTTACCGTGTCTGACACATAATGCCAGTGCAAACAATGTCAGCTACCATTATTAGTGGAAGTTTCTCTAAATGTGCATTAGTTTCTCTAAACACGCACTCAAAGCTGTGGCCAGCTATGTGCCCTGTTAACTGTAGGCTCTGAGGGTAAAATTGTGAGTGAAATTGACACGCCCCTACCTGCAAGGAGCTTACTGTTCAGTAGATGAGACTGGCAATGAAACGGACAATGAAAATGAGAAGTAATATGGGTGGTGGAGGGGTGGTTATCACTGATCATAATATGAGCTTATAGGAGGGGCCTCTAATACAGTCTGAGATCTGGTACCAGCCCTCCCCAGGCTGAGCGGAGCCACTAGAAGCTGATCAGGACAGGAAAGGCTAAGGAGTAAAGGCAGTGTTGGAAGCCTTCTGTTTATAGATAAGCAATCATATGTAAAATCTCCAACCGTGGGCTTCCCTGGTGGCGCAGTGGTTAAGAATCCGCCTGCCAATGCAGGGGACATGGGTTCGAACCCTAGTCCGGGAAGATCCCACATGCCGCAGAGCAACTAAGCCCGTGTGCCACAACTACTGAGCCTGTGCTCTAGAGCCCACGAGCCACAACTACTGAGCCCGTGTGCCACAACTACTGAAGTCCGCACGCCCAGATCCCGTGTTCCACAACAAGAGAAGCCACCACAATGAGAAGCCTGCACACTACCAGGAAGACCCCCACTCGCCGCAACTAGAGAGAAAGCCCACACGCAGCAACAAAGACCCAATGCAGCCAAAAATAAAATAAATTTATTAAAAAAAAAATCTCCAACCCCCTTCAACTCTGGCCAACCCCGGCATGGAAGATCCTTCTACTCCCACGATGTCACTTTGTCCTTTAAAAATGGTACATGATCAGCCTGATTTCTCTTGGCGATTGTTTATAATATCAATACTTGCACGATGTCTTTCTTCCCTGGTGGAATGGGTGCCCCCTACAGGCTGGGCTCAGGGCTGTCAGTTACATCCATAGAACTCAGCACAGGGTGTGATACTTTTTCATGCTCAGTGATACTAATAAATTAAGTGAGATGGAGCAGACACTGAGATTTGCTGCACCCTGCCTTTCAGAAATGCCCGAGGGCTCTGTATATCTCACTCCTTTTCCCTCCTTCCCA